ATCTCTTTATGGAAGTACCTCCTTCCAGGATGTCCTGGAATTCCTGAAGATCTCTGTCTGATACCTGTGGCTAGTGACTGCAGTAACTCCTTTATCTATTGCTGACAGCTGGGAGGTTTGATTTCAGTCTCAGTCACTTCTTGGTCACCTTAGCTGATAGGATTCTTACAGATTTAAGATTCAAGAACTGAGTCTGCAGATAAGTAAAATGACACTGCATTTTTCATCCCTTCTTTTTAACAGCTATTACAGTAACTCCTCAAGGCTACACTGTGCTGGGCTTTTACGATAGAGGAATTCCTCAGAGTGTACGGGCTACAGACAGACAGGTTTTACAAACCAGAGGTTACAGACGTTCACCTCTACGAGAAGCACAAAGAACAGGAGAAAATTACTTCTCCTCTCTTCACACAGAGAGCATGGAGAAGAAGTGATAAGCCAGATCTGGTTCTTGAACTTGATTCTCTGGTGCCTCTCATCCCAGCTTTTTTCACAGCTTGTCGTCCTGTGCACAGTGCCTACCTGCCTACCTCTGTCCTGTCCTAAGCAAGCAGCTGGCTGCCCAGCTGGAGTAACACTACCACCACTTGACAGTGTCAGACACTGAGAGAATTTTGATTTTTAAACCTTCAAGTTTTGAACTTCAAATCCTGTCTATTAAGAAATGATGGCCTCCAAAGCTGTATCAGGTATTAGAGGGAGAGGGCAGAGAGCACTGCTGCCTGTGGTAAGATTTGGTTGCATTCGCTGTCTTGGCAATCTCATTTTACTTTCATTCCTGAAAGCAGAAAGGAGTGAGGAAACTTAAAACAGGCTAGCAAAAAAACCTATGCAGTAGTTTCACACCATTCAATCTTTGCTTTATTTTTCCTTCTTAATAATTCAGTCTTCAGCCAAGAAAACACAGCAGCTAATTGGAAGTGCTGTCTGTATTAGGCCGCTCTTAAAATATAAAGGACACAGCTGTGAAATCCTGTGAGTCCCCTTGCCTGTGCTGCTATGGGCACAACATGATCTCAGTGCTGTGCAAAAGAGCCAAGAGGTGGTGGAGCTCGAAGTCATAGAAATTGTATATCCTAGCATAAAGTTTGAAGTCACACCTGCTACAAGATGGTTGAGTTGACTGAGTGTAAGTCCAAGTTCATTTGTGAAGGTAGGCCTGCAAATGTGGAAATGACAAAAATTCATTTTTAGAAGAAAAATAGCCTATATCCTCCTCCTGCTTAATTTAGAGGAAGCTACTTTTTACTTCAGTTTAGAGCAGAACTGAACTCATCTTATTTTGCTGTGACCTCTGCTTTGCAGCATACGCATAGCAAGGCATTTCCCAGAAGCTTCTTTCTGACTTCCAATAAAAAGCTGAAGTATTCTGTGGCTTGCAGCAGAGACATGGAGTCTTGCCAGCAAGAATCTGCAGCTAGGAGTCACTTAGCTTGAGTCTTTGGTTTTCTAACAGTTCTGTATTCAGGGAGAGAATCATAAATAAGGGAGGCTGCAGTATTTATTTTCTTTGTTTTCTTTTATTCAGCACTGCTCTTGTTACTCTTCAGGTAGTTGTTGTAATTTCCATTTCAGAAGGGTTTGCTATCAGTGCTGAGGTCCTTTTTCTGGCTGATGCAGCAAAACATATAATTGCTATTAAACCTTTGTACAATTATCTGCTCTACATAAAGCACCACTGACAGGACAGTATTAAACTTTGCACAGCAAATTAATTCTTCCATTTTGCTCACAAAGTGCCTTGGGTTGCTTATATGAACACTGGGTTGTTACTGGTTTTTCCTCTCTCTCTCTCTCTCTCTCTTTATTTCTTTTTCTTTGCAGATCTGGGATTATTTTGAGATGTTTTGATAAAATGCAGTGAGTGTCCTCAAGCTGACCAAGTCGCTTTGAATTTATATCAGTATAGTGCAGTTGCAAAATTTAATGAAATCAACATTCCATGATTCACAAGGATATGTAAGGAATGACAGAAATAATGGTGGTATGTCTATGGAGTGATGTTAGCACAAAGCAAGACTCCAGTGACACAGACAGTCTTCCTCACAGAAGAAGATGCTATTGATTTTTTTAAGAAACTTAGCTGAATTTAACTGACATTAGTCCTTTAGAGTTAAGGGCATGCCATCTAAAAAGCCCAGATACCTGTTGTGGAGCAAGGGTTAGAACCTGCATTATCCAGTTCCTAAATTAATGTCCTATCACTAATTACACTGGCTGGATTCTATTAATTTCTTAGTCATGATAGAGTTGCTTTATTGTACCGTTGCTGCTGGTACACAATGCCTGAGAATATATCCTCTAGTGTGCAATTGATGTGATGCAGGCAGAACGGAAAATATTACTGTGTCAAGATGTGCAGAGGGATGAGCCTAACTCCCAGTTCAGGGTTTTCAGGCCCAAAGCAGCTTACGATATACATGTCCAGTAAGCTGGCTAGTTGTCAGTCAGAATCATTTAATAAACTGCTTATGAAGGTATTTCTCTTTAATTCCCCTTTCTCTCCTCACTGTATAAAGGGTCACTTCTGCCACTGGAAAGCCTTGTGTGTATTGCATATATCCAAAGGAAAAAGCTTACAAGCAATTCCTTGCAGGAGAGCAAAAGTCAATTACTCAATCATGACCTACAATGCCAAATTGAAGCCAGTAAGACAAGCACCATAATTAGGTTCTCTTAAGAGATCAGTCTGGAAATAACAACTAGCAGTATTCATTTAAATGGCTGTAAAGGCAGAACTGTAAAGAAGTTATATCACCGGACCAGTCTTGAAAACATTTATTTACTCTGTAGTAATGAGCAAAAACTTGTCTTTCAGATCAATACCAGAAGATCCAGATGCTGGCATGCAGAATATATTAGGGTGTCTTCCACATGTGAGTGTGAGAGAGCAGAATGTTGCAGGTGGAGATTTCACACTGCAGCATTTAAATCCTAAAGGGAGTTTGCCCACATCCTTGATACAGTTCCTCATTTGAGCAACTTTAAAAATTCTGTTACCTTTTCTTCAGTTGGCATCAGGCCCATCTCAGTCTGTCTGGATCCAAGAGGGAATTTTCCTCATAATAATTTAATTTGCTAGCACTTGTCTCCATGTTTGTCTCTTTATTTTCTTTGTTTCTCATTGCATAAACTATGTGTTTCCTTGGTTACAAGTTAATAGTCTTGTTTGGAAGAATAATAACTTCCACCCCAGAAATAGTATTGCATTGCAGACTATTAGATGAGATTCACTCAAGGCAAGGCATTTACGGGGCTCTTACTTAAATGGAGCTGCTAATTGAAATACTGTTTGGCATTGCCATCTACATTCTGTTCACCAGTATGGGCTGAATAACTGCTCAAGGGAAATAGTTGAAATGAGGCTACCAGAGGAGGAGATATTCAGAACTTTGAGCTTGAGTAGAAGAATTCAGCCATTTCCTGTGAAGTTTGGAGGTGGAATGGGGGCGGGATGAAGAACAAAACAGCACTACCATATTAGTTTGGCTAGATTTACAGCAGAAATTATTGCTTATTTGTTGTCCTTTATTCTTGGTGATGTTACTCCTGTAATCACGTTAGGCTTTTTTATTATTAATCTTGTATTTATATAATGCAGAATGATAGCAGCATTTATTCACTAAAGCATTTATGAAGGAGAGTAATATAAAAGGACTTTTTTCCCTAGAAAGTCATTGAGGAAGGAAACTCATGCAGTAAATATGAGCAAGGTATCTGTTATGTTGCTGCATCAGCGGTAACCTGAAAAAACCATAATCCTAGCTGGGGAGATGTCAGGAATTGATTGGAAAAGGAACAGAGCTTCGGAAGAAAAAATAAAAAATTGAAGATAATTCCTAGTGGCAGTGAGAGTGATGTAGGTGTATCAGCAGTCAGTCCTTTGCAGGCCAGGAAGAGCACAACAGGAATCGTGTAAAGACAGAGGTGTTGGTAGAGAGGTGTGTTTACTCTGAAATGTTCTGATGAGCATCACTAGTTTGAGAAGAATATTGTGAGAACAACTTTCTCCTGCTAGAGTGGGATGTGGGAGGGAGATTTGAAGGAACATAGTTTTGTTTGGGAACATTCTGGGTAATACTTTCTACTTGAGACAGTATAGTTGAAATTCAGTCTTGATCTAGATTACACCCATGTATTTCTGTTGGGGCCTTAAGCTGCCACAAGACATATCTGAAGAGAAAGGGAAATGTTTTTTACAGAAGCCAAATGTGGAGCAATAAAACTTTTATTGCAACAGTGAAATACACAATAAAGCTGACACAAACCTTTCCTGTTCTGTTGAAGCTCTGCTCAGGGCTTTATGATCAACTACCAGTACCTGGGATTTTGTGTCTCTGACAATATTGCAGATGCTTTGGTCATTTCTGTCTACTCATAATATCTCTTAATTTGCATTCAGAGAGTAATTTCTGCTAGAATTAGTGGGAGTTAAAACAAATGACATTGGCTTCTGTTCTCTTTAGATATGCTTTCCCTGTGTTAGGTATGCGCTGTAGCAAAATGGAGATGTTTGTAGTTTATATTTAATATAGTCATTTGCATGCAAAGTCAGGCTGCCTGGTTCATCTCGTTTCCCAAAACATGATTTGGAATTGGTTTCTTTCATTCTTTTTGCTTGGACTGTATTCTTCCTTGGATTAAAATAGCCCAGTTCTTGTTGCCTTGTGTGCTCATTGAATGGTTTGCACACACTCATGTTCTTGGAAAGAAAAGCTTAGGCGTTCTGAAACACTTTGTGCACTGAAACTGGGGAGGGAATTTCTCCATGTCTTTCCATGGCAGCCTCAGTGGAAAGAGGTAATAGTTGATGTGAATGGCTTAAACTATGGGTTTGTGAAAAGGCTATATTTTAAAAAAATGGTGACGACGTTTTAGAGGAGTGTAAAATGTGAATAGATACATTTGTATCGTGATGAAAAGTGTCTGAGAACACAGGTTTATTTACAGGAGAAAATACTTCTTTTGTCTGAGTTTAAATCATATTTTTTGTTTTACAGTGGCCCATCCTCAGGAGCCTCACCATCCCTCTGAAAAGCCAGTCATCCACTGCCATAAATGTGGGGAGCCATGTAAGGGTGAAGTACTCCGTGTTCAGGCCAGACACTTCCACATCAAATGTTTCACCTGCAAAGGTAAGACCTTGATATCCATCTGTTAACGAAGAGTCAGTTTGTGCAAATATACCTTGAGCCAGTGATGAGAGGTCGTGTTTCCTGTGATCGGCCAGTTACGGGATATTCTCACTGCTTAGTATCTGAATGATTTGTAGGTGGGGGAGGTAAAGAATGGGGGGTGAAATGCCTGATTGCACTTGTACAAGCAGCAAGGTGATCAGCACCACACAGAACAAATTCAATATACAAACATTTACAATGTAATTGAAAAGAAAGATTATATGAGACATTTGATTTTACTGGGGGGGGGAGGTTGGTAAATCTGCCACTTCTAGAAGACTCAAAATAGCACATTCTGCTCTGAATACTTATGTATTCATTCTTTTTCTTTTCTACATTCACTGTGTGCAAGCTACACAATAGATAATTATACCTGAAAGAAATGAAAAAAAATCTTAGGTCTTTTTAATATTATTTTCTCTTTTATTTGCTTCATCAGTACTTTGTAGGCAGTCGGTTTCACATATTTCCAAAATAGTGAATTAGGCCATAATTAGACTCTGGCTGCTTTGGTGATTGTTTTTTTTTTGTTCTGTTTATTTGCAAAATTTTGGAACGACCCTAAATATCCAAGTGATTTATGGAGAGTTAGAAAATATAGAAAGTATAGCCCTAGCAGTCACTCAGAAATCCAGTGTAAATAGCTGACTTGGTTTCAAATGTTGTGTTGTATGTATTTCCTGTTGTGTCCATATATGGGGCAAGGGTATGTTTAGACTGTATAATGTGATGAGGTGAAAAGGAATATAGCATAAGAATACTTAAGAAAATTCTGTCTTTCTGTAGTTTTGGTTCTAAGTGCTTTTTCAAGCATTTTCAATACACGGATAAATTTTGGATTTTTTTAAAACTGTTAAAGCAACCACTCCCTTTCACTAGAGAGTTATGAGAATTAAAGTCCTTTTAACTGAATTGATTGCTGAAAGTAAGTAACTGCATTCAAATAAACCCACCAAAAAACCCCTAATGGATACTGACATCTGAGAGAAACATGCAGGGTGGTCACTGAGGAGTGTGTGCTGGGGCGAGGGGGAGCCTTAGCCATGTGTTTTAGGAGGTGTGCCTTCAGCAAGCGAGCAGTGCAGAGGATGGTTACAAAAGGGAAAGGAGCAGGAGATAAGAGGTATCTGTAGCAGCCGTGCTGACACCATGCCCCTCAGAAAAAGCTGAGTTGGGGCTTTTAAGCCAAGTAGCCGAAAAAATTTTCTTTTCTTGTGGTTGGATTTTGCCTAAGTTCAAGAAATAGCAGTATGTGTGCACTGTCTATGTGTGCATATCTATACATACTTGTGTGTGTAAGTATATACATACACACACGCTTGCTGAGGGCCTCCATTTTACTCTGGGCCTTCAGTTTTTGGGACTGGGCCTCCTCTTTCTCTGAGGGGGCCACCACCTCTCACCGGGTCTGTGCTCTCTGCGCCTCCCCTCCCAGGGGCTGGGATGCTCTGGGCATCCCGTTCTTTTGAGCCTACCCATCCCTGTGGACATCCCTGACTCTCTAGGTCTCCATCAGCCTTATCCTCTGAGCCTCTCACTGCTCCAGGCCTCCCTGTGTGAGCCGACCTCCCTTTCCAGCCCCCTCACCTGCTTTTGGGGCTCCCGGACTCTCTGGGCCTCCCTCTCCACAGGCTGGAATTTTCTGGGACTTCCGCTTTTATGGAGGCCTCCCCTTTTTTTGGAGCCTCATTCTCTTGGGGGCTCTGCTTATGAGCCTCCTGCTCGCTCTGGGTTTCACTGACTTGTTCTCAGTCTCTGAGGGCTTTGAGTCTCTAAGCCTCATGATTTTTTGGGGGGACCTCCAACAATTTTGTTGGGACTCTGACTCTGCACAAGCCTCCACTATGTGAGCCTCGCACCTTTTTGTTGGCATCCCATACTTTCAGGTGCCCTACACTTTTTCAGCTCAGCTTTCCCCCCTGCCTCCCCAGTGGCCTCCCACACACGCACTCATTGGTCTTCCACTGTGCGAGTGTCTCCCCTCTCACTGTGCCTCCCCCTCTGTGGGCCGCCATTCTCCGTGCCTCGCCCTTCCTTCTGGCCTGGGCTTCACAATCTTAGGGACCTCCACTGTGTGAGCCTCCCACTCTCCGGCCCTGCCGCTCACTAGGCCCCCATTCTGCACCTTGCCCTCAGATGTAAGTATATTTCTATACTTGTGTTTATATTTGCCTGAAAGCTGTAAGGAGGCTGCATGGCTGGCAGCTGGGTTACTGACAGAGCTCTGTCTTCTGTCAGCCCCAGTTCTGCAAAGGGCCTCTGAAGCTTTGGGTTGTGGGAGCTGCCCTAGGAGTGGGGAGAGCCCTGCCTGCTCCTCAGAGCAAGGGCCTGAGGGGCTCTCAGCAGCTCCAGCTCGTGCCACTGAGCCCTCTGTGACCACTGTGGCTTTTTACAAGTAAGTGGTTTATTGAAGTATTAAATAATTTTAAAACTTTGTGAAATTATCGCCTTTGAAGATGGGTGTTCTGAAGCCGGAGGTAATCCTGGCTTCATCATACAGTTTCTGTTTAATGGACAACAATACAGAGTTGTCTGAATTAAGTAACCACAGTATGTGGGATGAAAGGTGAGAATATAGAGAAATATATAGGCCCATGTGAAACAAGGGAAGGGTTGCTCCCGTACAACCAGCATCTGCTGCATTCTGTCCTAGCATAGCATAGGATAGACACATTGAAAGGGCTTCAGGCTAGAGGTTGGATGTAGCAGAGCTGGTGACAAACATGAAGAAAGGTGCTTGAGTAAATCAGAGTAACTGATTAACTAAACTGGAGTGACAGAATCTGTACTATGAAGTTTTTCCACTTCCTTTAAACCTGAGTTAGCATGTCTGAATGTCCATATCTATCACATATACTGCAGATCCAGATTTTGAAAAGTTTCAGTTTTATTTTTCATGTTCCAAATGTGGGTGGAGTAGTACAGTAGTATGATTTCCATAACTCTGTTCTTCTGCTTCCTAAATAGATATGATATAGCAGAAATTAGAAATGTTTGTTTTCCTAAACTAAAGGTTTTCCTAAACTTGAGTTAGTTGCATGCTGAAAAGTGAATGGCTAGAATCTAAGAAACTCTGTGTTTGTGTTACTTATGTTTTTTAGTTAAAAAGCAGTTAGATAGGTGAAAAAATTACTTTCCTTTGGATATTGATGTCTGTCTTCTATGTCAAACTGGAATAGTATCAGCCCATCATGGAAGGAGAGGAGCACTGTCTGCACTATTCCTGAAACGCTTGGGGTGATGCATATGTCTTTCTGTATTACAGTTCCTGTATTTCAAGTTGTACTTGATGTTACATAATCCCTAAACTGTTCAAAAACAGCAACAAGTTGTTTCTTTTACTGTTTCTGCCCATAGTGAGTAGTGGTCTCAATTTACAGAAGACACTGGATTAGGGTATTTCCAGCAGCAGACCAGCTGAGACCCTTCGAGTCATGAAGGAGAAGGGTAATCCAGGCCAGGCAGCAAACAGCATGCATGCCTAGGATCTCTCGATGAAGCAGGGCAAGATGGAATTGTACTCCTGCTGAATTCACCAGATTAATCTTGCTATTTTTGGGGTGTGTAATTTCTTCTTTTAATTACTTATGTGCTGCTGCTGTCCTTTGACTATTCTGTTGCAAGGTTGGGTTTACTAGGATACCTTTTTTTTTTTTTTTTCCTTCCCCTAGGGCAATATCTAAACTCATTGTGGCTTCTGTTTTATGGAGATACTTCCAAGCTGATGACAGTTTAATATTCTGTAATATTATTGACCTCATGACTGCTTGCATGAAGATCACCAGAGAAAGGAGAGCTATAGAAATACCAATCTCTGATGGAAATGAAACTGTGATTTTTATCATTAGCTTGTTAAGGAAACTTTGAGCTTGTGGAAGATGACTGGTTGCATGTGTTCACTTGTTGTTTAGGAGAGGGGTGTGACAGTGTGTCTTCTGCCTGTTTATCATATCTGCATATTCCACTTTGAATTGAGAGGGCCATCACTGCATTCTTAGAGACATTTCTCTTGCTATTCATTCAGTCTGTGCCTTACTAGTTGGGTTTGCCAGCAAGTGAATGTCTTCTTTTTCATGTTCATTTGTCTTTCACTGAGAGAAAGCAAAGGGGTATATGGGAGTTTGCTCCAAGTCCTGTTTTGAGTCTTATACGCAAGCTGCAGAGCTCATATTTAAATAACTGTAATTTGTGTTTAAACCATATAGTTATTTACTTATATTGCATGTTGTCTGACCATATGTTTCATACAAGTGGGACACAGCCGTTCAAGTAAGTGTATTTTCCCTCTTAGTCTAATGGCTTTTTAATTTAACATGACTGTGACTCTACAGGAGGTGGAGTTAGACCCCCTCAGTTTATACAGTATGTTGTTAGCTAGAGGAAACAGCTGATATTGGGACCAGAATGTATCACCTGCATCTACAGGTGGCTTGGTTGTCTTTCTCCTTTCTGTATACTAAAGTTTGCTCTTGAGACTTCAGTGTATACTCTACAGTGTGGAAGGCTTGAATAAGCTGATACTTGCCTGACTGTTGTCATACCTGCTGAAAATATTTAAGATGTTAGCCACAGACTTGGTCTGATAGTCTAGTGAAGATGTGGAAAAAATCCATTTCCTCATAAAGCTGTCACACTAGTTGAATAGTAGCAGGATTTTGGTGAGATCCTGTTCTGACTTTGCTCTGTGTGAGATCCCTTTGTTTTGTTGTTGTTGCCATCCAGGCTCTCAACTTTGTGTTTACATCATACTGTTAAGTGTATTTGATATGACAGTAATCGTGCTTCCCTAGGTTATGTCAGAGACACATAGGCACTCTGTGATTGCTTGGCATACATGTCAGTCGTGGTTGTTGCACTGCAGGAACATGGTGACTTAAGCCTCCATGCTGCATCAGCCAGCTCAGGATGTGCTCATATGTCATGTAATGTGATAAGAAAATGGTCCTCCCCTGTAGTTT